TATTAGAAATTAATCCAAATGATGCAACGACTTTAAATAATCGTGGATTAACTTATCAAAATATACGCAGATACAAAGAATCTTTTGCAGATTTAAATAAATTATTAGAAATTGATTAAAATAATGCAATGGTATTAATTAATCATGAAGAAACTTACCGACTGATAGGCAGATATGAAGATTTACTTGCAGATTTAAATAAGTCATTAGAGATAGATCCAAATAATACAACAGCTTTAAATAATCGTGGATCAACTTATCAAAGTATGTGCAGATACAAAGAATTATCTGCAGATTTAAATAGATTATTAGAAATTGATCCAAATAATGCAACGACTTTAAATAATTGTGAATTAACTTATCAAAATATGCGCAGATATGAAGAATCTTTTGCAGATTTAAATAAATTATTAGAAATTGATCAAAATAATGCAATGGCATTAATTAATCGTGAAGAAACTTACCGACTGGATAGGCAGATATGAAGATTTACTTGCAGATTTAAATAAGTTATTAGAGATAGATCCAAATAATACAACGGCTTTAAATAATCGTGGATCAACTTATCAAAGTATGTGCAAATACGAAGAATCACCTGCAGATTTTAATAGATTATTAGAAATTGATCCAAATGATGCAACGACTTTAAATAATTGTGAATTAACTTATCAAAATATGTGCAGATATGAAGAATCATTTGCAGATTTAAATAAATCATTAGAAATTAATCCAAATAATACAACGGCTTTAAATAATCGTGGATTAACTTACCAACTAATAGGCAAATACAAAGAATCACTTGCAGATATAAATAAATCATCTATTTGAAGAGTCATGTAATGGTAAACAAATATTTATATTCTTGGCTTGTAAACCTGATTGCTAGATATTAATTTCATCAATCAATAAATGGTATTAATACAAATAAAACAATTCAAAAGCATCATGCAATTATAAATAAGTATTCATCTTCTTGGTTTGTGAGCTTATTTGCCGATTCTAATTTCACCAAATATTTATATTCACAGGCGCAATGATAATAAATATTTAAGTTTTAAATACTTTATAATCCGATTAGAATGAAGCCTGGATATGTATATTAGGATAAAAGTTAGATAAGAATTAAGATGGAAATGTAAGGGTTAGAATGAAAATTTATATTAGGGTAGGTTTAAGGTGGAAATGTATATTAGGATAAGAGTTAGAATGAAAATACATGTCGTTAAAGTAAAGATTAAGGCAGAAATATGTGTTAGAATAAAGGTTAAAATGAAAATACATGGGTTTTTGCCTTGAAAATGACCTTATGGTTATTTTCAAGGCAAAAACCCATGTGTTAGGGTAAGGTGTGGAAATGTTTGTTAGAGTGAAGATTAGTTATTAGTCATATGTAATAAGTTTTCTAATATAAATTTCAATAATATATATATATCGATATGTGATATTAAAAATCTATATATAGTTTATAAATATATATTTTATAATATAATTCCATCATATTATTAAAATTTAAGATTTCAAAAGGGTTCATGTTTTTCATAGCAATACTTATTTTAAAGTTTAGTAATATAGACCTTGTTTGAGTATACTGTATAAGCATTATTTGGGTTATTTATACAGTTTATTTATTTAATAATACAAATCTGTTGTTTTTTATATCAGAATTACTCGTACATTGCTTGGCTAATTCAATATAACATTTAGAATAATATTAATCTTATAAAATGGCATACTATTCGAATGATCTTTATCTAGTAAACATAACTAACATGATAATTCTAAAACTATAAGCTTTGACCTGACAAAACCTCTGGAGCAACCCATTTTAATGCTTTACTATCTCGGAATACCCTATTGAATATATAAAGGTATATATTGAGTTTTCATGATTTATGCTCTTTTTATGCAAGTGAAGATACTTAAACTTTAGTATACAAAACTTACCAAAAGTATTCAAGCGTAAAAAAATATATATATACAGTCAGATCCTCTAAATGCAACTCTTCTAAGTGCATGTTCTATAAAAAGCCTTTCTAAACACATGTCTTCTCTTTATCTCTCTAAGTGCATATTTGGTTAAATTTTTACATATAGTTCTGTCTCATTGCACTTAGAGAGGTCTGACCATATATATATTTGAAATTTTTATACTAGTAGAAATTTTCAAGACTTGACATTTGAAAACCACAGGTACAAAGCACATGCTAGAGATCTACAAAACTATAAAAGCAAAAAATATTTACAGGCTATTACAATATATAAAAAAGAGCTAGTAACACCAAATTAACTCATTCATTATATATTACTTATCTAAATTTGCTCTCTAAGTGAAGTTTTTGGGGATACTGATCTATACTAATCTTTCTTTACACAAAATATACAAAGAGTTAAAAAACGGTATTATGTAATTTAATAAAAGTTTATTATGTAAAACCATGAGTTGCCAATTGACAATGTGGTTTTTCATAGTAAGGGTTACTTTAAAAAATTTTTTTTATGTTGTATAACCCAATGATCTTCAAGCCAATCAAATCAAATATTTGCCATGCTACTATAATGATATTACTGATTTAGATATTCTCTCATATGTATTTGAATATTACAACAAAAATGAAAATTTAAAAGATGAACTTTTAAAGAAATTTAATATTATTTCGAATAAAGAAACTTCAACAATAAATAAATCTTCTAATAAAAAAAGAAAAATAGATGAAATTACTATTGATACTAATACTGATAATGATTTTTATTATAAAAAAGCTGTTGAAGAAGTAATTAATAGTGGTAATATAGATGAAATCATTGTAAAATATGCAACTAAATGTATTAAATGAGTATATACTGTGGAAGGATTAAAGGATATTGCAAAATTGAGTAAAATTTTAAAAGATAAATAAATAATTTATTTTATAAAATATTTGTAATGGGGTTGGGATCCCATAGCCTAGTGGTCTAGGCACCCAACCAGTGTTTGAAATTCAATTTTTTATTTAATTGCACGCTGCAATTAATTAAATAGTTTTATTTGCGCTATTCAAAAATAATTATTTGTTCCGCAACTAGAATGCATTTCATGTTAGCAAAAATAAAAAAAAGTTGCGTAAAACTAACTTGTGGAATTAATTATATTGCTGCTTAATTTCATATATTTTCCTTCATTCAGTAATTTTTCATTATTTTATTATTTTACTTTAGCTATTTTATTGTCAATTACAATTGTACTTAATATCATTTATATAATATATTATTATCTTTTTATATACAGCTTCTTATCTTTAACTATGCTGTTGACAAGAGGGAGTTTTAGATTAATACAAAGAATTATAGTATGTTCACAGGTGCGAAATAAGGTAAAAAAAGTTGAAAAATAAAAATACGATTAAGCTATACTGTGCACATAATTATTTTATATTTACATAGATATATTTACATAACGAAGTATAAATAAAGATAAAAGCACATGCCTGTAACAAATTTCAATTACAAGAGGCATTTTTAAGTAAATTATATATTTGTATGCCGACATGTAATAAGAATTACAAAAAAAAAGCATAATATAATAGAAATTAATAAAATAATATTTAGAAATAACTTCACGAATAACAAATTTAGAAGTTTTCTTTGAAAATTTTTAATAATTAAAGTTTTAAAAACTTTAAAAACTCGGTTGAAATTTCAAAATTTCATATATGTAAAACTTAAAATCTTCTTGGGCTTCTTTGCCAAATATCGTATGCTTTCTCAAAATTAAAATCCTCTAGTTTTGGCCTATTTATAACTATTATAATATGAGAATTAAGCGTTTTAATTTTCATCTGATTACGGATTTTTGTTTTTATAAGATTTTGTTGCGAAAAAATCCTTTCAACATAACCATTTGAAAGTGGAATAATTAAAGAAAAAAAAACAATTTCAGCTACATTTGGATAGAGTATAGCAAATTGAGAGCTATCAAAAATTCGTCTCTATCCTTCAACAAAATCTAACTCTTTATAATTTTTTAAAACCAATTTTGCTTCACGCCATTCTTTAAGAAGTTCGATTCTATTTATTTTTGCTAGAAAATGTGTATCATCATATTGCTTAAATTTTCCATAAAAATTGCCTAAAAGTAGAATTTCATTTTCTCCAAATGTTACCATTTCTCGAGGACTTGTTGAAATTTGTGAAAAATCAAAAATTCGCATAGCATTATAAATACCAACATCAGGAAATCTTTGACGAAGGTTTTTAATAAATAATAATGCGAATTCTTTAAATATTGAAGGTAATTCATCATATTCAATAGTATCGCACATATATTCTCGTAAAAAGTATCCACAAGTTGGTGCAATATCATCATCTTCATATCCAATAAATTCTAATGTAATTGATTCAATTGCTATATTTAATTGCATATATACATCAGATAATACAACATAATCTGATTGAAATATCTTTGTTAGCTTACTAATTATTGAAAGAAGATTAGCAAGATATTTAGTTGCTAATATAAATTCTGAATCAATATTATTATATAAAGCTTTTGCTCATTGTCTAGTTTTTGCACAGGAATCATTTAAAGCTTCATCATAAAGTGCATCTTTTATAGAAAAGATAATTTGATGTAAATTAGAAACTGCATTAGAAAGTGATAGCCATCGAGTACTAACAACGCATAATATAGATAATTGAGGATCTTCATTATCTTATGATTGAAATAATTTAAGATGCTTCCATTTTTGATGTGATGTTGCAAAGTATACATAAATTTCTTTTAATGTAAATTCATAACCTTTAAAATATGAAACTTCTTTAGCTGAATCTTTACCAACTAAATTTAATCTATGTGCTATACAATGACAATTTGTCATAAATGGATTAATTTCTTTTAATCAGGTAGCTACACCAGTTTTATTTCCTATACAGTATATAAATTATTAAAGTAGTAATAAAATAAATAAACAAATAAATAATTATAGATAACAAATTTATATATACCAATCATAACACTAGCACTGTCACTACCAAAATGCATTAATTTCTGAGTATCAAGCATTTTAGCAATTAAAAAATTTTTCAAATTATTTACTATAGCCTCTGCATTTGTTTCATCTAGTTCAATTAATCCTAAATACCGAAGTACTGGTATATTTTCTACAATATGTTTGCTAACAATAGCACATGTTTTATCATGCGTTATTGTATTACTCTCATCAATTAATATACTCCATGATGGAGATTTTCGAACTTCAGCTAAAATATCTTCTTCAATTACTACTGCAATAGCATGTAAAAACTCAGCTCCTGCTTTTGGATTATCATATGTTGCATAATTTAATAACTGGTTATTTAAAGATGGTTCAGATGCAGTATTTAAAAAAATTCTCTTAGGACCAAAGATAGGAGGTGCAACGGTAATTGGAGATTTGTCATATACTAATTTGATTTGATTTTGAACTTGTAAATTGGTTAGTTCTATTAAATCTGGAAATGCTTCAACTGCAAGATGCCTTTTTGCACATAGATATATACAACGCATTTTAGCAATTATATCTAATTTATTAACTCCAGCTTGTACTGTAAAACTACTCATTAAATCTAGCTAATCAGATTGTCGACTTGTGTAAATTTCTCAACAGCTTTTTGATGTTCTTTAATTTCAATATGTTTATCTAAATAATCTTTTTTAAATTTTTTTGTACCTACAACAAAGATACTAGTAGAATGCCTATTGTATTCAGTACACCAAATACAGTATAATTCTGGCATGCCTTGGTTATCAATTCAACGATCAAGCCATGGATACTCCTTAATCCATCTTGAATCCCAATCGGATCGTGTATGTGTTTTATCATCATTTTTTTTAGATGATTTAGGATTATTATTTGTATTTGGTTCATAAGGCTCAGTTGAAAAAAAATATTTATCGAGTGTATTTGAAGAATTGCTCATTATAACAAGACAGTTTAAATCTAACTTATTGTTAGTATGAAATAACTCTTAAATTTAACAAGAATTCTTATTTTTATATTTAAAATTATCTATCGTACTTGTTTTGATAAAAATATACGATTGCTATTTTATTTTCATCAGTATAATTATACGTAGCATTATTGAATTAATAATAAATATCGTATGATTTAAAATGCTATCCTTTAAATAGATTGTAATTAAAATCGCAAAGCCCATAATAATAACTATCGCTATCGTTAATCAGTTTTATTAATATGATTTAAATACTATCCCTTAAATGGATTGTAATTGAAATCATAATAATAACTATTGTTATCACAGTGCATTTAAAGAACAAATAAATATAGTTTAATTTTACAAATTATAATAATAATATTCTCACTTTAAATTTTAGAAGTTGATATCGATATTTGTAAAAAATTAAAACTTATTATATACCAGGAATAGTGTGATATGCAGTATATGGTTACTATAGCAAGTTAAGTAAAGCATGTTCGCAAAATCGTAAATCTATTAAATAATGCTTAAAATGGTGCAAAAATGTGGTTAAACTTCATATAATGTATCACACAACCCTGATTTCTAAATTTGCATATTGTACAGATTTTATCTTGATTAGCGTCTACAGTTATCAAGTTCGGTCTGGTCATTGTTGAGATTAGTTAGAACTAGTGTTCCTCACGGACTGGGTTTTAGCAAAAACCTAAAGTCGATCCAGAAAACCGGTCCGGGTCCAAGTATAAACCCGTACCCGAATATTTGATACCCGACCCGAACCGGTATAAGTATACCTTACTCATGTAAAAATAAAGCATTTTAAACTAAGCACTCCCTGTCACAGGTTAATTAATGACTTGCGTTACTAAAGAACCTGTGATAGGAGAACCTGGGTAGAATAACAAAAGCCAAACTCAGGTTTTGCTGAATAATAATAATAATAATAATAATAAAAAAACATTTTCACGTATTCGTTTTTGGTCTGTAGTACATACACCATGACACAAAATTCTAACAGATTGTCAAGCATCATACGTATATACGAAAACAATTAATTCGTTTTTTAACTCTAATATTTTAAAAAAAAAATCGGTGAAGTAATCAACGTGTAATTTGTGCTATAAAAACTTTTCCTCGTGCATATATGCTATAAAAAATTTTGCCTAATGCAATTTTACCATTAACGTTCAGATCGTCATAAAGAAAAAAAATATTTTTTTATAAACTGGGTCGGTCCGGGTACTATCGGTCCGGGTCTCTCTCGTGACCCGACCTGGTCGGGTTCTTAAAATCATGGTTTGACCTGGCCCGAAAGGCCGGGTCGGGTTCGGGTCTTCGGTTCGAGTCTGAGGAACACTAGTTAGAACCGATTCAACAACTTGTTAAGGTAACTATATACGTACATATATATATATGTAATATAAATTGCCCTTAAACTAGTATTATAAAATTGGCATTCCGGCTTGAGAATCATTAGTACTCCAATTGGTAAGTTTTAAAAATCGAGATTAGTAAGTGATTAATAATGATAAATATGTATTATGCAAATACTCAAGATGAATTTATGCATATATTCCAAATAGCTATTTAAACTAACATGTTCAGGTAAACATAATTCATATTCATGTGTATAACTGGTTTTAAAGCAGAGTTTGAAACCTAGTTTTTGTGTGTGCTTCAGAACAGTGTTTGTTCAGGTTTTGAAGCACGAACTAACCAATTTAAGCAGGATCATATATAGATGACATCTTAGTTACGTTCTATATAAATATCGGTTTATAAGATAAAGCACAATTTAGATATAACTAGTGATATAAATAAGTCTGTATCTATATACATAATAATTTTAATGTATTGGCTAATATCGATATATAAATAATAAAAACTGATTAACAGATAATCATAACGGGTATTAAAAAAAATTAACCTTAAAATAGACTGTATTTGTCGGTTAAAATTATTAGAAGCCAATATTATCAACTAAACTCTGTATATTATTAATCTGGTATTAATCTGGTATTATAAAACCCGCAAGTAAATTAAATTTTTTACTTGCGGAATACATATTATTTGAAAATAATATGCGGGAATTTGCAGAAATTTGAAAAATTTATCTGCAAATTCCGCACATACATAATAAGTTTTATTTGCAAAACTTTAAAATATGTTGCGGTCCGCAGATTCCGCAACCCAATTTCAGATACTGCACCCAACCCTCCATGAGCGGGTTTTGGTTCAAGTCCTAGTAGGTACATTTACCTATGAATATTTGGAAGTATCTGCCGTGAGAAGTCCAAGTGAATACAGATCTGGATTAGGAATTTCTGGAAAGAGGTCTATTGTGGAGTAGTTGGCACTATGTATAACAGGGGTTGTTATAGAAGGTTCTATTACACAAAAGGTTGTGTGTGTAAATCTGCGATTGGCAAGGTAGCACCAACAACCCCAAGGCAGAATTGGGGATCTTGTTTGGGAGGACGACTGGATGGTAACTAAAATTGAAAGTGGTGAGAAATGTGGTGAACACAAAGAGACTTGTGATAAAGAATTGGCTTTACCAGATTTGGAACATCTCTGGCACCTGTACTACTACTAGATTGAATAGGATTTCTTTATATAGAGAAGTTGGCAGGTAAAAACTTAGGATACGCTTAAAATGGACAAGACATGGCAAGGTCATACCCAACTGGAAGTACTTGTCTGGTCACCGGGTCACGTGAGCCGCCTTAGTTGTATATTCTTTGGCTATTTCGGTAGTATAACTAGGGGAAGATCCTGGAAAAAGAAACAAGTACGAAACAGAACACAGGAACACCAACTTTAAAATACCAATATATAATACTGGAAGTAGTACAATATGTACTCTGAAAAACTCAGTTGGAAGTTTTGACACCCATAACCTGTAAGACCCACCAATTAGGAGAGTATCTGTTATCAAGTCCTGCATGCATATTATCAACACTATACGTAATAAGGAAGGTTGTGCTTGAGATACGAACTGGGTTATAGCAGCATTACAAATAATGACTTGAGATATGAACTTAGTAACGGCAGACAACATGTACTACACCAATCTGGAAGTAGCTGTGAGATTACGCTTGCCTGGTGCCCCCTAGTGGGATCTGTAATGGATACTGTACTGGAACCATATTGGAAGTGTAAGGTTGTTAGTATAAGAAATATGGGGAATATATTAGAGTTAGAATAGGATATTTAGTTAGTGGTATACAAAATCCAGGTAATATATGAGTGGGATATGGACAGCTCTGGTAGGTATAGATCGTAGATAATTAGTCTAAGCCACTGTTCTATTAATTGTTGTATAAATGTATGTAATTTATATACGTATATACTTAATAAATAACATGAGGCAAGATCTCTCCTTAAAAAAAAAAAAAAAAAAAAAAAAAAAAAATTTATAGAGTTTTACTATATATGGCACTAGAAGTTTCACAAGAAAAAGCTATTTACCATAGCATCAAATTTATTCTTTTAGAATGATTATGTGAGAGATTTCTTCAGAAAATATTGTATAATAAGTTTTACAAAAAAGGTAAGATTTGTGAATAAATTTTATATTAGTTTAGTATAATTGAAGTGGTTATTTACAATAAAATAATATTTTTTAGTTTACTATAATTAGTGCATATAGATTTGGTTTAAAGAGAGTTGATTTACTTACTTGCAGCTAATATTATAGATCTGAAATTGTGTGAAATGGATTCACAGTTTAGAATGTTGACAACAAAACTTTGAGGATTCTGTAGTTGGGTTTTGTAGTGAATTTATTTCAAGCCAATGACCAGCCCTTGACATAGTAATATGATAGAATTTGACATATATAATGTTATTATCTACTATCTCCTATAGAAATGTATTTGAACATTTTATATTCAAAAATGCTAGTTTTGAGCCAATTGCACCACTTGATGATGACTGAGAAAAGGCAGAGAATCTCTGTAATTTTCTGAGCCATTCTATGAAAGTAAGTTAAATACTGAATTGTTTATTTTTTATTATGTACACAAATTAAATAGCACTTCACTTTGATTAGTTACCAATGTTGTATTAGGAAGCTCCTATTCCATAGCGAATATTTTTCTTTCCCAATTGTTGAAAGTCAAAATGCACCTCAAACGAAATGCTACTAATGTAGATCCCTTTCTTTCTCAAATAATTATTCCGATACAAACAAAATTTAATAAGTACTGGGCAGATGCAGGAGATATGCACTGTATTGCCACAATATTAAACCCACATTATAAGATGTTATTACTAACACATATATATAAGCAAAAGATGAACTTGTCGTGTAGTGAAGCAGAAGACAAAATATCTTCGATTAAATCGAGATAAATATTATATTTCGTGAAATCACAGGATAGTTTAATTATAATGACATTTGATTTATTTGATTTATATTACCTAAATAAGTTTGTTTTACCCTTAGCTTACTTAATATTTTAATTCAATAACTATTTACCATTATAGGGCTATGACTATCAATTCAACTTATAGACAGCATATAGTTGATATGATAGTGGTAAAGGATTTTTCAGGCATTTTCCAGAATGAAGAAATGCAAGACTTTTATGCATTTATTAATGCCAATGAAGCAAATGTTGAAATGGAATTGAATGAATTTGAGCAATACTTAGCTGACCCACTATTTTTATGTTCTTAATCGATGTTATTTGATGTTCTTGCTTGGTGAAAATTAAATGCTCCAAAATGTCCTTCGGTATCAGTTATGACACGAGATATACTTGTGATTCTATTAACTTCAGTGGTTTCTGAGGCTGTAAATAAACTTTAAGAGTAGGGTAAACATAGATCATTTCTTATATAAGTAGATCAACCAAAAAAATATTACACAAAAATTGAACACATGTTACATATAAAAGTTTTTAAAAATGTAATCGATTTTTATAAAAGTTTTAGAGTAGATAAATTAGACTCTTCTAATTCTAATTATAATAATT